TAGGCTACCCGACCGCCCCAGTGTTGATATGAGGTGTGAAGGGGATGCCCAGTGCATATGAGTCCATTCATCACACTGAAAGCACGGGTTCGACTCCCCATTGAGTGCAACAAGTGAAGAAGAATGTTTGTAGCCGCTTATGCATTCGGGCCAGAATTGGCTCCAATCAACCCTATGAGTGACGACTTAGATGAAGATCGAGCGGCCACAATGCGGAACCTTGTTGACAGCGTGCCATCGTGCTCGGGTGAGGCTCGTTCGTCATACTATCAGTCACTGGCGTACCAAGCCCAATCGATTTTTCACACACTGCCTTGACAAAAATGGTTTCGCTGATTGTTGCTAAACAAGCATATCTCGACCCCTTACCTAACTCGAGCAGCTTCTCTATATCGAAGGTTGTGTTTATTTCGAAGAGTATCTGGGCTATATGCTGCCTCCGTGAAACATCGAAACAGGACAAAGTAAAATACACCTGGTTTACACATCTTTTTTGTTGTTTAACGCCGCACTCAGCAATATTCCAGCCATATGACGGCGGTCTGTAAGTTATAGAGTCTGGCCCAGACAATCCAGTGATTGACATCATGAGCATCGATCCACGCAATTGAGATATGATGCCATGAATCAGCCAAGTCAGCGAGCCTGACCACCCGATCCCATTAGTCGCCTCTTACGACAAGCATGGTCGCCTATTACGGCAAGTATGAGTTCCTGAAGACCTATTCTACCCCGGGTCTCGGTGATATAGGATTAAGGCGGGGTCTCTGTATATTGAGACCACTCGCAATGTCTCGATGGTTTCGTAATCTCGAAATACCCCGTTTGACACCTAAAGCATTGTGTCCTCAACTGTGTATCAAAACTTGAATATTCTTATTATTATCGTCAGTTCAGTTTCCAAATGCTAATAATTAAAAATAGCCGCCAGGTTATCGTGATACTAGAGTAAGTGATTTGCATTTTAGAAGGTAAAAAGAAAATATTATGTCTACATCAAATCATGTTTGTCAGCGTTTATGCTATCGTGATCGTTGAATGGGGTGTGGGCGTTACAAATAAATATAATTGTTTTGTTTTTACGGACAAATTATATTTAGATTTGAGACTTTCACATTTTCAAAGTTAAGCAGTTCTAAAGTTTTGATTGTTTGTTGTTTAACGCCGCACTCAGCAATATTCCCACTACAAGACGGCGGTCTGTAAATAATCTACTCTGTACCAGAAAATCCTGTGATTGATGTCATGAGCGATCAATTTGGATGCGCTGACATCAACCGATGCTGTTCGTCGCCTCTTAAGATAAGCGTGGGTTGCTGAAGACCAATTCAAACCCGGATCTATTAGTATCCAAATTTCATATTTCCGTTTTTTATTGTTACCAACATGTGACATTAATCTGAATGTGAGACAGAGCCACGAGGTCTTCTAAGAACTCTGTACACACTGTGACAGTAGTAATTCTATGTCAACAGATAGGCGAAAAGTTCGGGTGAGGTGCATGCATATGTATGTGTGTGGCTGCTTGTACTAGTCCGGAATGATGCCGATTTATAGTACTGGCCCACTGAGATGCCATGCTGCAGTTTAACATGAATACCCCACTCAGACACAGTATACTGACTCCGAGAAGACCAGTCCTTGATTTAGCCAATAATGCCGAGCGTCAGACAGGGTAACAAAAAGGTACCATCTTTTAACGTCTTTTGGTATGACGCGGCAGGGGATCTTCCGCTCCCCGGTCGGACGCTCTACCACTAGACGACGGAGACAGGCGAACAGGTAAACACAAGGTATAAAACTTCCTCTCTTATGTAACTTAACATAACAAAATATGCAAACATTTCGACTCTGGTGTTCAATAGACAAGAAACAAACCAATAGAAACGAAAAAGGAAGAAAAGCCTCTGTGTGAATATCTATAACATGTTGGAAGTGCCGTTTATCCGTTCAGCGTATTGTGCAGAATGAAAGAAATATTGCTACTTGTATTTATATTGCTACTTTATTTATTTCCCGCACAAATTAAACATCATTCAACACAATTCCACATGGAAACAGTTTTAAGCCTCCATGCCAACCTAGAGTCAAATTTGAGCAAAATAAGCTTCTATAATACCCTCCCACGTGTCTATGAATAATACATACACCAAAGTACCACAAACCGTTAACCGACCAGATACAACGGAAGCAAATTGACAAGGGATAATGAGATGTATTGTTCCACATCTTCTCCAAAGCGATAAATGCAAGGGCAATTCTACCATTGATTATTATTAATATGTACCTGAGGATGAGCGTTGGTTCATGGGGAGTTGGAATGACAGGACATGCAATCTTATTGACCTTAAGTCTCTTATCGGGCATTGTGGGACTTCAAGCATAATTGAACACTTTTCTCAAGAGAATATGTACATGCCTAAAACATTAGTTAATTTTATGGAATGTCGGAACCTCGTCAGAAATAGCTTTGAACTGCCGCCCACAAGTTCGATCAGATGGGTATTGTTCTAATATGACAGCTTCATACATGGGCGGTGAGTTTGGGATTCAGAAATCAGAAGGTTGAAACAAGACCGATCTGTCAGAATGTCGATTACATTTTGATGTGTTTGTGGTTAGGTGACCTTCACGCATAGTCTGCTGATGCTATCGGTGGAAGTTGCTCCACTGTGCTGATGTTGTCGTTATCTTAGTTAACAAATCTATATACTTCGTTATCGGTTTAATATACAACATGTTTTACTCTTTTTGGGTTATACACTGATTCCTAACTAAATTTATTCGCTTCAATTTCTGCATTTGCACATGAGTACGAGTTGGGTTTTAACGCCGCTTTTAACACTATTCCAGTTATATCATGGCGTGTCAGATTAAGGTGGAAGGACAGCCCGAAAGCGCAGACGTTTACCACTTATGTAAACCCCGCGAGCACGGGTGTGGTGCTGACAAATCTAGAAACATAACTGGGGCAAAGGTGGATTCGAACCCACAATCATCGGTGCCTGGCGCTCCCAAGGGTTGCAACTCGGCACAGCGAATTGCGGCTCCTAGGCGACAGGGCTACACCTTCAGCGGAATCTATTTACACTGAAATTTTAGATTATGCTGTTTAGTATACCTAAATATACCTTAATAAACTCAACTCAATAATCTAACCTCAGCTCAACACACCGTGTCGAAATTAAACAAAATAATCAAGGACACAAAAGACATCGCCTCGCCTCTACACAGCACAATACACAGCGCCACGCCACGCCACGCCACGACACGCCACCCCACGACACGCAACCCCACAATGCAATGCAATGCAATGCACAGCTTCACGCCACGCAACGCCACGCCACGACACGACACGATACGACACGCAACCCCACAACGCAGTGCAATGCAATGCAATGCACAACTTCACGCCACGCCACGCCACGCCACGCCACGACGACACACAATACCCTTGCCCCTGTGAAGACAACCAGATATGGCGTTGGCGTTTGTTGATTATTCATTTATACATTGAGTGTTTGTCCTTCGAAATTTAATTGTCGATATCGTCTATGGCTGCTGAAAGTCAGTCTGAACAACAGCAAAACATTGCCCATCAGAAACATTGAATGCGATTAGGAAAGCCCATAATATGATGGGTATCGTGTTCCATTAAATGTAAAAATAAATGTCAGATTTCAATAATTACACGGCATTCCATGAATCCATACCTCGATATGCATAATATGGTTACTGTGACTGTCTTCATCAATGTGGTTTAATGCATGTCTCGAGCAGTTAGGTGTTTTGACTTTCCATTGTAAACTATATGCAATCTCCACAGATGATAAGATGAAAAGCCTTGTCAGACATATGCAAACGTGCTTTTTAAGCACAAGGTATAGATTTTGACCTTTTTTATTTATGAAACACATCATTACATGCGACAGCTGGGAAGCTATCATGGTGAAAAGGATGTGCGCGTCTTGCTAAATCTCCAGGGCCCACTTGCACAAAGCGATAGTATCGCTAAGACTTTCGTAAACCTATGTTAAAGTATGGGAGTTACGATTATCCTAGCGCTAAGTCTATCGTAAGCCTATGTTAAAGTATGGGAGTTACGATTATCTTAGCGCTAAGACTATCGTAAGCCTATGTTAAAGTATGGGAGTTACAATTATCTTAGCGCTAAGACAATGGTAAGTCTATGTTAAAGTATGGGAGTTACGATTATCTTAGCGCTAAGACTATCGTAAGCCTATGTTAAAGTAAGGGAGTTACGATTATCTTAGCGCTAAGACTATCGTAAGCCTATGTTAAAGTATGGGAGTTATCTTAGCGCTGAGATCGCTTTGTGCAAGTGGGCCCAGTACAACATTCATAAGTAGATCTGCACCAGTATATATTCATATTTGTATCACAATAAAACATTAGTAAAATGATTCTTATCAGGTGACTTCATTACGAATCACTTTCATTTTTATATACAAGACAAAATTCAAAATTAAATCGGCATATATAGGGAGGTTGGACACACCCACGATCATGTAAGCAGAGGTGGTTCGGTTTTATTATGGACGAACCATTTGTAACCGTTTTGAAAATGTATCAGGCTAGTTTTAACCAACAATGATACTAAGCCGGATAAGTAAATATAATATACAGAAAAATACGGTTATAACGAAATCAAAGGGGCTCATTTTAGTTCGTTATAACCGTAGTTCGTTATAAGCAAATATACAGTATATAACAGCAAATGGTCAGGCATCAAGTTCGTCATATTCGTCAGTTCGTTATAAACGTCGTTTACGGTATTTATATTTTTTAACTGATCCAGTTTCAAATTCAATCTGACACGAGGCGTTCAAAAAGTTACAACTTCATTTTGCACTTTCTCACTGAAGTGTTTAAGCAAAACATATGTGCACAGCCGCTGCAAAAAGAGGGTTCACTTCGTCCTGGAATATAGTGGCCAGATATAAGCCGCATTGATTGATCGTATATTGTTTCTGTTACAGATGGTGTCCCCTTGGACGTGAGCTCTCACTTCCCCGATGTGACTCCCCTCCATACGTCAACGTTTCATATAGGAGAACATTCGCCTCGAGATCACCTAGTGGAAAAAGCCTGGCTTAGCTTTTGTAAGAAGATATCCACTGGAAGGAGGCCTTTACAAAGTCTAACTCAAAAAGGGAGGCTTCTGATCTACCAACTTGAACACGAGGATGGCTCGCACAGAACCGGGCGCCATCTTGTCGTCAGTCGTCCAGTGACGTCCCTGTCGTCTGCTTGCATGACAATCGATGTCACAGAAACTCTGAGAAAGAATTTCACAGGGGATGTGACATTTGTTCTGGTGTTCATAAACGGACGGAAATCCAGTGAGCAAGCCAAGAGTGATCGTAAATCACTAATGTCCAGTATTCGATCTACCCTTTTAGTGAACTTAGCTGAAAGAGGTAAAGATATACCCCGAGAGAAAAGGGAGGTTGGAAGGACAGACTGTACAGCGAATGATGGCGAGAAGAGGTGTTGCCGGTACCACACTTACATATCCTTCAAAGAAATAGCATGGGATGACTGGGTTGTCGCCCCTCCCGGATATGACGCCTATTACTGCGCAGGAGAGTGCCCCCATCGATACAAAATGGCGCATACATTCGCAGGGATTAAGTCACTACTACATCACATGGACCCTACTCGTGTTCCTCCGCCGACGTGTACGGCGACGCGACTACGTCCTTTGACGTTGCTAAGCCTCGATGAGGTTGGGAAGATGACGTATTCAGACCACCCTGAAATGATTGTGGACGAGTGCAAGTGTTCCTGACAACGGAGAGTTTCAGTTAGGACAGACATTTGCAATGAGCTTCTGGATTGACTGAATGGCGTATGTGTCAATGCACGTACACAGATACTGGCATATACGAGCAGGGCTAAGGTTATATATAAGCTCAAAAGCAAATCTGGATCTTTCAGTTTCAGTTGAAAATGTCGTAAGTTATTATATCCAACTAATTAACTGTACTGACGCTTAGTCAGCACTCAAAGAATACTTCCACATGGTTATATTTTTAAAGTATAATTTAAAACTTTAAAAATTTAAAATAAATTTGCATGACACACAACTGCTAATAGGTATCTTGGACATGTTATCTTTGAAAATTAATAAATTTGCTTTTTTCGGCATAAATTTTACATTTCAAACATGGTAGGAGTCATGTGATTGCAAATTCATTTCTTACCCCTGTCTTCTTTGAAACAATTTATTTTTGCACAAAATTACCCAGCCACAGATTACATTTTACACACTGTTGAACAAATGAGTGATGGTTAAATCCAATTTAACATCGGTCAATTTTAAAAAAACAAACTCGGTGGTATACATTCTTTTGCCTCTCTGGTTCTATGAACTCAATAGAGGGCCACAACAAATTCCTTCCTTGTTCTTCAGTTTGAAGAGCCGGGCTCGGCTCCACAAAGGATTCTTAGCACTACGACTATCGCAATTCTGTGTTAGAGTATGAAAGTTACGATAATCGAAGGGCTAAGATGGCTTTGTGGAACAGGGCCCTGTGGCGAATTAATAAATTATAGTTTGAAGAAGTTTTTATTTTCTCCGTTTGATGTATGTGCATCTAGTACTGACTCAGATTGTATGTAAATTATGTGCTTTCCATTCATAAATATTTAGGGTTCTAGGGACCATTGATCTCTGTTTTTATTAACATTGAAAGATTTGTTTCAACCACTTTCTTTTGTAAATATTGTCAATTGGTCCTCGTCATTCAACCACAGCATATGAAGGTTTGTTTTTAAATAGAAAAAAAATGTGTGTGATTCTTCCGGGAAACTAATAATTGGGAGTGGTCTTCGTGTGCAGTTTGTTACGAGTTGCTGCCTGCTCCCATTTCGGCTGCAATAGACATATCAGTATAAGTAGGTTTCAAAACCTTATGTTTCCATGGTAACATATTTAAAACTTTGTGTTGATAGCTTGACAGGATGATACCAGGACAATGGGAAGGGACATAAGTCCTATTGTAACGAAGTCGCACGTAGCGAAGCCTCTGCTATGATAAAATTGGTGTTGTGCATGGTCATTTAGCGCTACTGTGGTGTTGAAAGTGAAACTCGGTTAAAGCGAAGTACATTTCGATATAACCCAGGTGATTTTAAGGTCTTGAGGGATATGAATATATTGGCACGCGCATGTCTAGTTCAGTATATGAGATACAGCCATCTTGGGGGCGTTGTTATTTACCAAGAAACATAAGACTTTACCTGGAATCGGATACTAAATGTAAGATATTATATTTATTTATGTATATAAAGATGAAATCTCTGTAAATATGACATATTTATTTATTTATTTGTGTGCATGTGCTTTATGCATGTTATATGTTATAGGTTGTATGTCTTTAAAAGCAACGGTATGATGCTTAACCAAACTCGAGCTGGCTCAAGAAGCGGATCTGATTGAGTCCTGAAATTCAATAGGTTGATCGTTTATTTATTTTGTCGAGGTAAAATGTTTGCAAATGTATCTATTTTTAAAACAATTTGAGAAAATACATAGACAATTCTATTAACATGGGTTGGGGACGGGAGCGAGTCCTAGTGCAGTAGAACCGAAGCGCATGTTATGTTTCTTTGGAAATGGTTTAATTATGAATGATATGTGAGTGGTTCCTCAATACCAACCGATCATCCAAATTGCCTCGTTTGTATGTTTTTACAGTTATTGAAAAATATTTGTTCATGTATCTTATCTAGGGCGATCTTAATTCTGTTTTAGAAAAGGTTCAAATGGCATATTGAAACATGTTTACTATTTTGTTTTTCACATGTGAACACGTTTTGGGCAAGTTTTATCATTTTGAGGTGGTGAAGCAACATATATTCGATTACTTAAAGGAATTCCTTTTTAATTTATCGTTACACCATCGTTCGATTATTGAATTTAATTCTCAGTGTTTCTTATTACTGTGAACACTCCTGCACAATGAAAACCAGCTTAATTACCTTTGTCCATTAATGTAGAAAAGACTGCTCTGTGTGTATAACTAATTATGTGTTTGACTGTTGGCAGGTCCGGGTTTACATACGTTTGTGTTCTCATAGGTTTGACGATGCGAGGGACAGCTATACGTTATTTACATATATGACCTCTGCAAATCCACTTCCGTCCGTTAATACAAATCAAATTTTATTTATTTATTTACTTGAACTACAAATCAAATTTTATTTATTTACTATTTATTTTATATGGTTAACATTTGCGCTAGTTCGTTATACAACACTGTTATGTTGTTTGACTTCATTTTGAAATGTGAGCTCCAGTGTGAATGGATTTTGCATTCGTAACTGTATACAGCGAGACCTCGTGAATCTGGAACCCTCCATTCCGGACGCTGACTGTTGTAACGTCTAAATGTAGACTTTATCCACGATTCATCCGAACGTGTGTCAATCCGAACGATTGGGAAACATGCCCTGATCAAAGGGGCTTTTCTGTGTATTTTTATATACCAATTCTTCTGTAAATTACATTGTATATCATACTATCGAAGCGGCTGAGAATGTTAACTCACGCAACACTTGGTTTTCAGATGATAATACCTCGACGTTTGAATCTGTTAAATCCGTTGTTGAATCTTAAGACATATGAATGTTCCTGTTTCATTCCAATGGTATCAGCTTTCTGAATTAGATTTGTTTATTTATTGGTATATTTAGTTTAGCTAGTCTTAGACCCCCTGGGAATTCCGGGTAAGAATAGGTACTCAGCCACACATGCTGTAAAGCGACTTAATGGATCGGCGGTCAGGCTTGGTGACTTCGTTGATAGCGTGTCATCGTGCCCCGACAGCGTGCTCATAATATCAATCACTGGATTCGCTGTTCCAGACTCGATATTTATGGGCCGCTGTATTATAGCTGCAATATTGTTGAGTGCGGCGTTAGAAAACAAACAACACACAAGCTAGATTCAGAAATGCTCTCTGTGCTTTGCAAGGATATTTTTTTAGTTCTAATGAGGTGAAATGCCGACAAGTGTCCGTTTTGCAAAATGACGCCATTTATATTTGGTCAAGGGCATTTGGTATTAAATGAATGGATCAAGCTCTGTCAATAGCTATAACAAGAAGTAGTTACTCAGAATTCATACGATTAAGAGTTGTTTCATAATTTGGGTCCTTTTTGAATGCCATCACCAGAAAAACTCAAAGCTGTGTGTACTTTAGTATTGCTCAAGTGTCACCCACGTTAGCTGTATATATCAGCATTGTAAACCCCTTTAAATATTCTCTTCTCAAGAAAGAGTACCGTAAATTATATTTGTACATATACAATTTGCGTTTTATTGTTTACATGTGTTTCTCTCAAATTGTTTACTTTGATGTGTTTCAACTCAACCAATCAGGTGCTTGTGTGATTGTCGACAACAGATAAACTTCTTATGAACACATGATGATTCTTGCCAAAATATGATAGAATTTGTTATCTCCACTGCTTCAGACTCTGTGATATCATGAAGGCCCCCCTTGGGGTCATTTGAATAAACTATTGTTGTCGACATTTGTGTTTTAGTAATTATGATTCCATCTCCTCAGTGTGTGGCCATGTAGTCTCTTGGACGCTGAGGTCGGCTGTGCAGAGTTGCGTCCCATAATACTTACAGAATTCGATTGAATTGTGTATGAATTGTGTTTGAATCCAATCCTTCGCCATGATTAAAATGCTTGGCGTGTTAGCACCGTACCGGTGACTTCTTACAAACCCGCCTCCCTTGTTCATTCGCCCCTAGGCATGATACAGTGTAGTTGATCATCAGCCTACCCAACCACATATACATTGGTAAAACCTCGTTTCCCCAGATCCCCGATCCTGACGATATTGTCCGGAAACCCAACATATAATCATTGGTCCAAGATTATTGCACTTATGAGTGTGTGTGTGTGTGTGTGTGTGTGTGTGTGTGTGTGTGTGTGTGTGTGTGTGTGTGTGTGTGTGTGTGTGTGTGTGTGTGTGTGTGTGTGTGGCTGCTTGTACTAGTCCGGACTGATGCCGATTTATAGTGCTACCTCACTGAGATACCATGCCGCAGTTTAACATGAATACCCCACTCAGACACAGTATACTGACTCCGAGCCGACCAGTCCTTGTTTTAGCCCCTTAATGCCGAGCGCCAGACAGGGTAACAACAAGTACCATCTTTTAACGTCTTTTGGTATGACGCGGTCGGGGATCGAACCCCGGACATTCCGCTCGTTATAAGCGTGATCGTTACTCACGTAGTTTACTGTATATATTCAAGAAGTAGACATCAAGATGAGCCCCAACTGAGCACAGATCTCCCCATTGCTCATCGGAATTTCACCTCGGATTTACAAAATCAAAACAAGGGGATTTGGCCAAGAGGTTTAATTAAACCTTCAGGTTAATCGATGACCTAATATCGTTCAATAATGGTCAAATAGCCAATTCGCAATTATATATTTACATAACTAAAAATAAAAGAGACAAATGAAACCGGCTCGCCTGTTTCATATTTAGATCAATGCATTAAGATTCACTCACAAAAATGATCTTCACTTGATAGTATGAAAGGAGGGAGGATTTCAACTTTTCAATAGTCATTTTCCCACTATGTCGGGCAATATTCCAGCAGCTCCAGCCTTTCTTGTCTACATTTCAAAACTTTTGAGGTACAAATCGAGCATGTTCGTTCTTCAAAGAGCATCACACGACGCTTACTCAAAAGCTGTTTGATCAGGGTAACACCTCCAAAGCCTCAGTAAAGCTTTCAACATGTTTCACGTCAGACATGTGGAGGACATTTCCATGTGTCTGTGACAGATGCCACTGGTGGAGCAGGGTACGGGCTTTCCTCCCGTACGCCGCAATATAACTGGAATAGTGTTAAAATCGGCGTTAAACCCAACTCACTCACTCACTCACTCACTCACCTAGGAGGGACAGACACATAATACCTTGTGAAATCTTATCCAGGTACCTTATTTCAGTTAATAATCTGTAAACGACAAATGTGATTTCACCAATACCTTAAGGATACATTAAATAATATTCGTATTTTACTTGTTGGCATTATATTCCATAAGTACTGAGGGCTGTTTTCTAAAAGTCAAATTTCACCATATACAGTCTGCAGCCTCAAGCTTTGGCTTCTAACGTACAAGGGGGCACGGGTGGCCCAGTCGTCTAAGGCGCCGCGATTCGCTGTGCAGAGTTGCGTCCCTTGGGCACGCCAGAAACCTGTGATTGTGGGTTCAAATCCGGTTCGCCCCGTTTATGTTTCTAGGTTTGTCAGCACCATATCCGTGCTCGTGGGTTTCGCCGAAGTGGTTAACGTCTAACACCTGCATCACTTCGGGCTTTCCTCCCATATGAAGCTGACACGCCGTGATATAACTGGAATATTGTTAAAACGGCGTTAAACCCAACTCACTCACTCACTCACTAATGTACAAAATAAATACCAATTCATATCTTGCACACATTAATTATATACATAAATTCACTGACAAGAAAAGAAGGAACGAAACCATTTTAATATAAAATGACCGGAGACTAACCAGTCTCGATTATCAGATTCTATTGGGCGTAAAAGGCAAAATAGCTAGCTGTGACAATTATGTAAATGGATCACTGAAAATACTTCTACCGGAAATTTCGACGATCAAAGGATACTCGCCTATCATTCATCATCCGCAATAAAGCAGATAATGAACAACACATTTCAGCATCAGATGAATAAGAATATCTGAGGTGTTTGGGATGCTTAGTCAACTGAGTGGCGATACTGGCCCAATTCTCAAAGCGATGGCTCGTCTCGCCGACGACCCGGGATTGATTCCTCATTTCGATACAAAGCGAAAAGTCAACTGTTGGTTGTATGTGTTTGTTGTTTTACGCCGCACTCAGCAGTGATTGATGATCATGAGCATCGATCCTCGCAATTGAGATCGATGACATGCATCAACCAAGTCAGCGAGCCTGACCACCCGATCCCGTTAGTCGCCTCTTACAACAAGCATAGTCGCCTTTTACGGCAAGCATAGTCGCCCTTTACGGCAAGCATGGGTTGCTGAACACCTATTCTACGGTATCAGTATGAAACATATTTCGAATACGCCACGTGGGGATTCCGGGTTAGAATTATTCAGCTGCTGTCCAACTAAATGGATCAGATGTTAAGGCTCGTGACTTGCGCGTCATCGTACCCGATGGCGTGGGACGGTCCTCATGATATCAACCACTGGTTTGTCTGGAAAAGTCTCGCTTACGTACAGGCCGCAGTAACTAGTTGCAATATTGCCGAGTAAGCGTGAAACAAGAAAATACTTCTTTCCTATATGGTGATGGCCGTACGGACCTGTATCAGGCTACCTTTCATGTGTGTGAATAACGCTCAGTCGTAGTGATTAAAGAAGTTGTCTTGCAACGTCGCACGTACATTAATCCCTCTAAGTAGAGGGGGCATTCCTTCTGAAGGTGTTGCCATCTCACGGTACAAGTCATCTAGGCAGGTTCTTCATATAACAAGATATTCAAGTATGATGTCCACTTACAAACAGACTTCATAACATGATAGGTAGGCAAACGCATCGTCTTTGAGTAGTTGTGTAAAAATAACACTTCTACCCCTACACTACAAATCACGTCTGTCACCTTGTAGCGCGGCACGTAATCCCTCAGTTCAGAGGGGATTCTTTCACAGGCGTTTTAAGGTTGAGAGCTATGTGGGTGGACGGTGTTAAAACAAGGTGTTGTTGATGTCTGTCAACTATTGGTAGGATTAGAACATGTTTTCTGATAAAGTCAGTTTAGGTGTATTGCACGAGATCTTGCCCAATGGCGACGCTACCAACCCTGGTATGAAGAATACAGTGTGACCTAGAGAAGCCAATGAGTGCATTCACATCGTGTCGCTTTATCCAAGTTCGATATTAGTTATTTTGATAATAGTTTAAATAGTGAAAAAAATAATTTTCTTTGTTAACGAAATTTTAATTTTGTCCAACTTTGATATACTCGCAAGTATTACATATTCGTGACCTAGTTGCCTGATGTGCAAATAGTGGGTTCGAATCCTTGATTTGCTTTGATAATGATCCTTGTAAAAATTGAATCGTGAGACGGTGAAAATTATGTTGATTCGCGGCATTACTTACTCCATGTCGCCTCTACACCAGTGCACTCCACCACACTGTTCCACTCCTCTATGCTCTACCGATTCGCGGCATGACTCACTCGACGTCGCGCCGCTCCACTCCACATCCACTCCACATCCACTCCTCTCCACTCCACTCTGTCGATTCGCTGCATTACTCACTCCACGCCGCGCCGCTCAACTCCACTCTGTCGATTCGCTGCAGGACTCACTCCACGCCGCGCCACGCCACGCTCCGCTTCTCTCTACTCCACTCTGTCGATTCGCTGCAGAACTCACTCCACGCCGCGCCACGCCGCGCCACGCCACGCTCCGCTTCTCTCTACTCCACTCTGTCGATTCGCTGCAGAACTCACTCCACGCCGCGCCACGCCGCGCCACGCCGCGCCACGCCACGCTCCGCTTCTCTCTACTCCACTCTGTCGATTCGCGGCATGACTCACTCGACGTCGCGCCGCTCCACTCCACATCCACTCCACATCCACTCCTCTCCACTCCACTCTGTCGATTCGCTGCAGGACTGACTCACTCCATGCCGCGGCACTCCACTCCACTCTGTCGATTCGCTGCAGGACTCACTCCATGCCGCGCCACGCCCCGCTCCTTTCTACTCAACTCTGTCGATTCGCTGCAGGACTCACTCCATGCCGCGCCGCGCCGCGCCACGCGCCGCTCCGCTTCTCTCTACTCCACTCCGCTCCGCTCTATCAATTCGCGGCATGACTCACTCCACGCCACCTCACACCGCTTCCCTCCCGCTTATTGGTTTCGTGTCTCCAACTTGACTTGTCGTGTCTTACCAGTATGCTAGTCAAGTTTTAAACTCATTTCACGAAGATATAACAGTTCACGATGTACCACAAAGAGTGATGTAGAAGAGAAATATATTTTATGTTTTATGTTTGATTTAATTGTGAATGAAATTCAGTTAGTGCATATTGTCTCAGTCGTATAAATCTCACGCTGTGCAGTTTTCATCAATCAATATAACAAAGCCAGTATTGAATGTCCTGGGCACATTAAATATTCCAGTAAGGTTTTGTTGATGTAATATCTCAATTTGCAAGCGGAGATGAAAATGGTGAAGTTGTTTTTATGACGGTTGAAATTAGTGGTTTGTCAAAACAAATACTTCCTATCTGAATAATCGAGACAGTCATTAGTAGATTAGGAAGCCATCAATATCTGGCCGTGGCACTTTCCTCCCGGAAGGCGTGGATGTAATAGGAAGATCGGAGTAAACAAATATTTTAATATTTGCAAATTATTTGATGGCGATGAAACACAAACATAAAAAATAGCACACGTGTGGGTCCATAGGAAATTATGTCGTACATATCCTGTAGATCGGAGGATATGAAGCTGAGGAGTGAGTTTTTCGCGA